AATAAGACGCTTTCACCGATTTTGGCTTTAATTGTTCCGAAATCCGAAGTTTGAAACAAAAGTGTGAATAAATTTCACGGCTTTTCGTTCATCCAGATATCCAGACGAAGTTGATATAATAATAAGAATTGGCGGTGAGGAACCCAGGACCCGTTGATTATTAGACATATTATTAGACCAACTAGCCTGTGTGTTCGAGTATGTATGTCGAGTGATATTCCATTTTCCCCTGTAAAGCAAGATTAACGATTTTAAGTACAGAAGAAACGTGATCAGCCTTCTAAGTACTGCCCGACTGAAACAATGTATTGTGCCAGGATTCGAACTTAGAACATCTCGTGGTTAACACTAAGCAAAGCGGTTAATTATTAAGTTAAAGGCAGTTCTGAATTTTACGATCGTCGAAGTTAACGCTCTTTAGTTTCTGAACTTAAGAACCACTTTGGTACGCAAAAAACAGTCTCTTTAGATATGAAACAAAAGGAAATTACAGTATTGTTAATTTATAAAATTGCGGTTCTGATGTTTGGACGGGTTATTTATATAATATTATAAAGAGGAAGTGTTTGTCTATATGAACGCGCTAATGATGATTTACTCAAATATGTTATAGTATATATTTTCAAAGAATTTATGAAAGATTGTTTCCTCTAAAAATGCCGCGAAACAATATGTCTACTTTTTAAGAATTAATCGCATGAACAGTAATTACCGTTATCTAATTTGGTCTAAATTAATGCATTACAACATAATAATATTAGTCTTGCAAACATCAAAGCAACGTTTGTCGGATCAACGAGTAGTTTTATAAACGTTTACTTCTTTAATACTATAAACATTTTTTATTTGTGTAATTAAAATTTACCCGCCGAATTTTATTGACCAAAAACGCTATTCAATCGAGTTAACAAACTGTTACAACGCACCTAGCTATTAAAATATATAAAAGTGTACAAATTTGGTTTTCAAACGAGCGAACGGTTTCAAAAAAGGATTTACTGAAAGGAGCAAACCGCGTACTACGGTTTAGGGTTCCGTATTATGGTATCGCAATCATAGTAATCAGCTAATTATTGGTGTTTATTTTTTGGTCTCTTAGACCAGCCTTTGTATGAAAAGACGATGATGAGTCTGGGTCTTTTGATTGGTTTGCCCCATAGTAAAATGTAGAGGTAGTTCCGAAATGGTTCTTTCATTTATTCTTGTTATTCCTAATAACAGGTTTCAACTTTGTGTTAAGTAAAGCAGCTAGGTAATTGGTGTAAGGTAATTGTAGTTGCCATTTGTGATCTAGCTTTATGAATAAGAAATAACGATTAGAATCTACATAGGAAAATCGGTTGAATAGTAATAATAGTCTAAAAAAAAAATTTTTTATAGTTTACGCGAGGAGTACACATTTAATAAAACACTTTATTTATATTTTTTTTTGTTTCCCCGTGGCCACGGCTGCTGCAAAGCATCCGAAACGTCGGGCCGAAGTTAAATATTCAAATAATTACTGCGCAGACCATTAAAGTATTTTATTTAAATAAGTCTTCATTATATTAAATATTTATATATGCCAATTAAATTATCTATATTTTGCCCCTCTTTTTGCCATCAAACAGAAAATTAAAAAAAATATTTGCGGTAAATTAAGGACATACATTTGCAACACTTATAAACATTTGTTTTATATAATCCTAGCTTTAGTTTGTGTAATTGCAATTGGCATTATTAATACTTAGGAAACTGCCTCTACAACCATTTTTAGGGGACTGAGGTACCCTAAAAATAGGTATTCATAATATTTTGTATTTCAATATTCATACCGAGTTCGTTACTGTTGTTTGAGAGGGCCGGAGACGTAGACCAGCCACAGCTACTCTTGGTAACATATTGAAAAAGCCTGCGTTAGATTTTGTAACAAGTGTTAAGTTATATAAAAGTTAATGGCTAATAGGGATAACTTACTACGTCAAAGATTATCAGAAAATTCTTATACAATCAATAAATAATATAAAGCCAAATATCAAGATTTGTCTTCACAATGATGTCATCCACTAGTGATGACGAAATGTCGAGATCCCTTTCCCAATTACGACGGACGAAAACGTCGAAAACCCAACTAGACCTATTTCAAATTAAATAATAACTGGCTTTGCAAGTTTAGTATAAATTACCCTTTGACTATGAAAACATTATAATATTGCATGGTGTATTAATTTATTTCACAAGTACTTTTATAACTTAGTCGCTATTATGAACGCCCTTTGGTCAATTATTTAGTAAAGAGGCTGTAAAAATTATGAGTTACTATAAAAAATATTGCTTAATACGTGTTTACGCCGTGAGTATTTACTAAGAAGGGCTAGCGCGCACTGGTGATTTTTGTCACGGTGACTTTTAAGTGTTTGTCATTATCACGTCACGTTTCCAAAGTGGAGTGCGCTCATTAATAGAGATGGTGACAAAACATTTTCAGAATCGGAAGGTCATTTGCCATTACGGCTTTCGAAGAGACGGTCATTCTCTGTAAACTCTTTAGACTTGGGAGAAAAAGAATGCGAAGAGAATACTGGGTACACCCCATTTGAAGTGACAGGCTTCTACATTGAAAGTTCTCTACACTATTATTTATAAACTTCGAGAACATCCTAAGGATTTTATTTAGATATTTCCGAATGAGTGCTAGAAGCTTTGATAAATTATTACGCACGTTAGGACCTGAATATATGAAAATACGAATTTACATATAAATAATTCTTATTTATAATAATATTTAAATTATTATATTATTATAAATAATATTTTTTAAATAATTATTATCAATAATAATCATTAAATAAGAATGCTATAGATTACAGTGTCTTAAGTTTTTCGTAGAGCGACAAGTTACCCCACGCATTGGAAAATATTGTTCTACTAATTTTATCCCGTGATTTAATTTTCACGTGAATATCTGAATACTCTTTCAATTATTTTCATAAAGAGCTGGTCTCTTTTCCACTTCTTCTATTAGCCCATCTTTATCAATATCGTCTTTACGAATGTTTATTTCGTTTTGCGTAGATGGTGACGCCATTTTGCGCGCGCCACAGTCGGTATTCAAAATTCAAATGGCGAACGATCGACGAAAAGAGTGACAAATTTGTCGCCAGTGCGTGCATTGCTATGAAAACCCGTAACGGCGCTGACTGTTTCGTCATGGGCTTGTTCGCCGGTCGGCGTATACAAATATCATCCAATTGTCACGTCGTAACATGCGCGCTCCTCCATACATATTCACGGACTTGACCAGAGTGACGAAACAGTCATTGTGACAAAAATCACCAGTGCGCGCTAGGTTTAAGCATATCTATATATTCATTTATAATAAAAAAAAACATAGGCATTGACAGCCTTCTTTGAGATAAATCGAACGAAAGTACTGGTCGAACAGCGGCCGGCAATAGTTGTATGAAAATCCGTCGTGTATGGGCCAGATTAACTACTATGTCAAATAATATTTGTGAAATTTAAACATGGAACTTCTTTTTCTTCTTCTACTTCGCGTCGGTCCACATTGACACATTCGTCCATCAATGTCTGTCTTGCTAGCCGCTGCATGCCAACCTTTTGTTTTATTTTGTAATTAAATTTTCAAAAACAATTTTTCAATGATCTTTATCATTTTAACGATGACGTTACTGAACAAATATTTTAAATGCCTACAAATAAGAATGCCTATTCAATTGTATTATGTTTATCATATTTTTGCAAGTAATTGTTGACAATCTTATCACTTGTAATCAGCAGTTAAAAACAAATTACACATTAGTACAATACATTCTGTTGACTTCAATAACAGATATATAAGGTGAACTTGCTCGTGGATGTTCTTCTCTATCCTACAAACTCTTCTTTAACAACTTCTCAATCTCATCTTCTCATCTTAATCACTAATACTCTGTTATTATATTGTTTATACCACTTTTAACGCGGCGTGTTACACAATAGAATAAAATAATAAACTCGTTGGTCTAATGGTAGCCATGTATTGCTAACAATCGGGTCATGGGTTCTATCTCTACGCGGTCAAACAGGTTGATAAACAATTTATAATTCTTTTAAAACACGAAACATGTCAGTTCGTTTGGTTAAATTCCGTCTGGGGAATGCACCACCGTCCACAGATGAGAAAGACGGGAAGTTAATTCACATTGGTTTCCGTCTATAAATTTCCGAATATCCAAAGCCACATCGCATCGTGTTGTTAAGATTTGGCTGTTACTTACGTGTGAAGTCGGACAGATAAGCATGGGGATGGATGCTTATCTGTCCGACTCTATCATACAATAATAATCTTATCCAGAAAAAACTAAATTTTACCAGTTTCTTTGCGTAAATATGTACTTCGGGCATAGATTAAACTATTTTTCTTTCTGTGGGTTCTGCTCAAATATTTGTAAAACTTTAATAAACATTAAATTATAAGCCTATAATAGTTATAATTATTGATTGATTGGTTGATTGATATGCTTTTACTTTATCTTACATAAGTAAACAATTGTGCTAGGACTTGAAGAAAGTTTGTTGTTTCACTTATTATGTCACAAGCGTGGCAAAGTTTTGCCATCTTATCAAGCATTTTGACTAAATTACAAACATTTTTTTAGAAAAAAATATTTTACGGTATCTTGATCAGTTTTCACAGCACACGCCACAAAATAGTTCAAAGATTATTAATATTCCCGGTTTTCCCCCCACTGTTTCTTCGCTCCAATTGGTCGTAGTCTGATGATAGCCTGAAGCATACCCCAATAAATAGTCACTTTTCAGCCTTATAACATTACGTATAGATTTAACTCAAACAACGACTAGTTTGAACGAAACAGCTCTGTATCTTTTAAAGGTATTCAAAATGATCAACACCAATGAGATTATGGCATCTAGAAGGAACCCTAAAATAAATTGAGCGAAGTACCTTGGAATATAAGAGAGCAACCGAATTTGTTTTGCTCAATAGGTTTTCAAGAATGGCTCGTAAACTATACTACGTCGACTTAAATGGCTTGGCTGAGTCAATCAGATACATTTTGCACTATTCTGGTCAGACATTTGAGGACATCCAGTACGATCATACGAAGTGGCCCATCCAAGAAATTAAAGACTGTAAGTAATTTTTAAAACAGTTAATTATACCAAAAAACACACTGGTGATATCATTCAAAGTAAAAAATTGAATATTAACTTTAGAGAAGAAGATCAAAGTTCGTAAGTAATTAAAGTAATAAATTTAGCGTTTTCAAGAGTTAAAATTTGTTATATAGTGTGTACTGCTTGCATAAGCTTTGCAGTTCATTCCGCTCTCAATTTGTGGCTTTCATCCATTAGACAACATATTTAACATTACTCCAACAAACAAACACAGAATTTACTTCAAATATTATTTACATATCAGTTTCAAATAGGAGCACTTTCATTCTAATGCTAAATACAGAGCATTACATTTTTACTTCTCATTTATAATTTGACTAAGCATTAAAAAATAATGAAATATATTTTCTAATATTAAGATAAAAATAATACCTTTTGTTATTATTACAATTTTACAATGGAGCAGAAGATTAGATCGTTTCTAAAATGATCCTAATAACAAAGTTTGTTTAGTTTAAGAAAAGGTTAAGAACGAATCTTTGAATAATATTATTAATATTACCGACTAAAGAAGAGACTTAGGTACTTTAACCATATTGGTAGTAAAAAACCCGACGGCCCTGATAAACTTGTTATTATTGGTAAGGTAGAGGTAAAAAACCACGTGGTCAAACATCTACTTCATATGGACTGACCAAGTGGCAAAAGTGTGCGGGTGTCAGTATCTCTACCAACCGCTCATCGACTAGCCAAGGATAATAAAGAAGGAAGTTTGACAAGGCAGTGCTATGTCATGATAAGCGCAATCTTCAGTAATAATATTGATCTTACTTCAGACCTTTTTTTAATTCTCAAATGCGTGAATTTCAGTTTTTTTAATCAAAAAGTTTCTTTCAAGAAAAAGGTTCACTACAACGAAATAAATTTGAATGTCTTAGCTATATAACGACTAAAATCGATGGCGTCATTGATTATTATTCTGAAGTTACCATGGCTTACATCTATGCTTCAAGATGTCAGATTTTAACTACAGAATTTTTTAGCAATACCTGAAATTAGTTGGTATATAACTTCAGTTAAAATTAATACATTGCCCGCTAACGAATTTCTTCCTTTACAGGGCTGCCCTACGGACAGTTTCCTCTGTACGAAGAGGGGGGTAAAACATTAAACCAATCAGCAGCTATTGGCCGGTACCTTAGTGTGCAGGCTAACCTTCTGCCTGAAGACGCTTGGGAACAAGCTGAACTAGATGCTACTGTCCTAAGCATCCATGATTTTTGGTCAAGTAAGATTGTATTGTATTGTTGATTAGAATTTTGTATATCATTAGCATAGTTTGAATTACCATTCGGTGAAAAGCGGAAGTGGTGAGGTATTTATTATTGAATAAAACTATTTTAAAGTAAACGGCGAGGGCTTTTAGCGTCTGTTGACGGTGTAAGAATATTGATTTCTCATCTTATAGTTCGTAAAAAAGTGTAAAGAGTGGTGCTGGTACACAGAATGAAAACTCGTTTTCTTTTTCTTCTTTAATATATGTATAGATAAATGTTGATTCTAAATTTTAACAAAATGATAACTCTGAATAATGTAGTAATGACTACACAGGGGTCGCGGTTTATATTAAGGAAAAGGATCCTGACAAGAGAGCAGCTATCAAGAAGGAGGTACTAGAAGAACGCATCGACTACTACTTCAGTCGTTTCGAAAAGGAGTTAAAGAAGAACAATGGCCATTTTGGCAAAAAGGTACGTTCACATAACATAACAAGTTTTGCGTAAGTGACCCAATTAAATGAAATAATAAATAAAAACCTAACACGTTTGTACTTCTTCTTAATATACTACTTCGGATTACATAGAATCCATAATAGTACCAGTTTTTGTAACTCAAATCAAGCTCTATTTCTTCTTAGTGAAAATTTGCAACATGACTTGTTACAGTTGAGCTGGGCTGACTTCGTCCTCGTCGGCTTCGTTGAAGCTACCAACCTTTGCTTTGACATTGAACTTCAGAAGCAATTCCCAACGGTTAACGCTTTAATCAACAAAGTGCAATCACTTCCTGGCGTCAAGGAATATATTGCAAAGAGAAAGGTCTACCGAGTCTAATTTGTCTTCCTTTAAATCACCTTTTTTTTAATCTTACGTGTCAATAAATTATATTTAAGAAATACTATATTAAACTTGCTTAGCATCAGAAAAAATATTACTAAAGTAAGAACGAAGAGTATGATATATGTATATATTTTTCAGTTTATGTCAGTAAGTATTGTATATAGCGGGGTCGGTAAGTATTAAGTCTAAGTGGATACACACGCTTAGAGAAACGATTTGTAATAATCCCACCAAAATTTTAAAAATTTCGTAAGTAACCTTTAAAGTTTCATCTAGAGGCTTAAAATGTATAATAAGTAGTGTTTTATATTGAAGAAAACTAAAAAAGCAAATATATAATTATTGAAGTGTATGACGTTGTTTCATTAAAAAATATTGGTTTTGTCGCCAGTTTATTTAACAACCAACTAATTTATTACAAACATGTTTGAGTTTGTAAATCGAATTTAAACGAAGAACATTAAACACTATGTACACCCTCGCTATATACACAAAGTGTAATTAATAATTAAAACTTCGATGATTTTTTTTCAAAATAAACGAACTTTTCTCCTGTAGTCATAAAAATAATCTTTAGATGTCAATTTTTAGCAAGTGTATTTTGAGGTACCCTAAAAACGCAGATTGATAATATTTCGTCTTTCAATATTCATATCAAGTTCGTTACTCTTGTTTGAGAGGGGTAGAGCTGCGTTATCTGGAATATAAACCAACATCCACTCTTGTTACCGAACGAAAAAATACCTGCGGCAAATATAGTAACTAAAGATAAAGTTTATTTAAAGAAAAGAGCTAGATATCCTCTAAAATATTGTTTAAAAATTAAAAGTAACAGCGTATTCATAACCCAACATGCTCGTTCTTTATTTATAAAGAAATAAGAAACACGCGGGCTTCATTCTCAACTAAATCAGGAATTTTATTACCATTTAAAATATCTAGGTTTTACTAAAGTTTTATTACAAAAGTATGATTGCTAAATACAAAAATTTCATTAGAAAGTTAATTACTTAACAATAGTTACAAAATATTTTGGTGAAACATGTTCGTTTCCAAGATGTAATACCATTTCTAAGCACGTTAAAATTAAAGTAGAGTTTGATCGTGGTTGTACCTCTGAATGTCCTTTCTTATCCTCACACAAGATCCTTGTAGTAGAATATGAGTAGCATTGACAAAAAGAAAACTTAATAAAACATCAAATAGTAAAAGCGTCCCGTCAAATTCAATAGACAATAATTTATCACCGAGACAGACAGTCATCGCATGAAATAACCGACAAAAGCATGTTATCTTTTTTCCACAAAAGATTCCCCGAGAAAATGTTTATATGAGTTTATTTAGTGTAACAAGAGTAAACAGAGTTATGTGTTATAGGATTTCTGAGAAAATCTTTATGGATGTAAAGGCTTTGTTATATGTAGTGTTAGTATAAAACAATTATTTTGAAACTATTATTTTCTTGATGAATATGTTAGATACTGTCTATAGTTTACGCGAGTAGTACACATTTAAATAAAATACTTTAACGGTTTAAAACGCGATGTATTAGTAAAACTTATTTGAAAATGATTTTTAACTTTTAATTTGACGTCAGAGACATCCTCCATCTTTAGTGTCCCCGTGACCACAGCTGCTGCAAAGCATCTGAAACGTCGGGCCGAAGTTAAAAATCGTTTTCAAATAAATTTAACTAATATATCGCGTTTTAAACCGTTAAAGTGTTTTATTTAAATATGTTAGAGTATACGAAAGATTGTGGTCTGGTGGATATAACAATTTGATTATTTAACTTTGTTATTAATTGGTTGGTTATCAGTACAAGCTCACAACCGACTCGTTGGTGTAATGGTAGCAATGTATTGCATGTAATCAAAATGGCCTATTTTCGATCCTCTCGGGATTATATTTTTTCTGGAGAAAAAAAAAAAATTTTTTCTAAAGAAACATCGATTACATATATCAATATTTAAAATCACTTTTAAAACGCCTTTTTTTAATTTCTTATATCAATATAATTAAAATCGTCATTTTTAACCAGTGACTTAACATGTTTTTAGTGTATAATATTATAAACCATGTAAGAAAATCATGATATACGGTTTTGTATGTTTGTCTAGCAAAAATCCCAAGTTAGAAAATATACTATATCGCGTTCGCAATGGACGTGGTCCATGTCCAGATTAAACTTTGCAATGATTTAAAACAGAGTTCCCCAAACTTTTTTGTGTCCTAGACCCCCATAAACATAAAATAAATAAGCAATAAGCTAATATTTTTAGTGAGAAGAACCTGATGCTTTAATAATAGTTTATCAACATTTCGTGGACTCCCATTTTTATTTTTTTCGGACCCCCAAATTATTTTTCGCTGACGTAGACCACTCGCAGGCTGTCATATACCCGTAGGGGTTGACCACTTTGCGATAAAGACCACTTTGCGAATCACTGATTTAAAATGACAAAATGTTAGCATCGTTAGTTATTATAATATAGAAAACCTGTAGCCTTAATTAACCACGATTCAGTACACGTGTAGAATGCCTTGGTTTCACCATATAATTTCCATTTTAGAAGGAACCTAACACATTAATTATATGAATTCAATACGGTTTGCAGAGCTATTTTACTAACCGCGAAACGCTTTCTAAGAAACGGTAACGTGCCACGTTATTTAATAGGAAATAAATCAAAATTATAAATTGTATGAAATGAAAATTTTATGGCTTTCCAAAAAAACCCTTTATTTTATTAATATTCTTTGAAAACAAAAGAGAGCAAATGGAATTATTTACCTATCTAACTAAGCTCTAATGTACCTCTAATTAATTTAAAAAAACAAACGCCGGGGCAGGGGCTGACGCATTTCTATGTACGTTTTACTGATCGGTTTCATTAAGAAACAAGTAGTTAAGACTTCTGTACCCTGTTTAATAGAAGCGAAGTGTTATTTACCTGGGATTCGAATCCAGAACATTTCACGCTTAACGCAATTATTCTGTCAAATTATTATGAACACAGGAAGATGCTTCGATTGCGAATTAAATCAAAAACCATTTATTCATTTAGATAACTAAGTACTTATTAACTTCAATACAATGAAAGTAAAAACAAATTACGCTAGTTTCAATTATTATTCTAATAAGGAACAGATTTGTATTTATCATTGTTTCAATTTAGCACCGATTTTTTTGGACAATTTACTGTACCGTGAAGGACAATATCGTGATATTACGAGCCACGATGTGATGATAAAAACGAAAGTTAAGCAATAGTTGCCAATGCATTACTTGATAATGTTTCCCGCTTACGTCACTGTTATTTAAAATATCAAATTATTGTATGGCTGCTATCTAACAGAGAACAGTGTTGCTGAAAATCACTGTTGTAGTATAACTGTGCTGCAACTTATGCTGACGCAAAATCCTTTTGGCGTCACTTTTCTTCAAATTAAGTTAAATCTCTTTGTATTAACTATCTAACGTGTTATTAATGAATGCCAAATAAAGAGACTTATTATTATAAACTATTACTGTTCTAAGAGGTCTGAGTCCCAGCTGTGGGAACTGTTTTAACTTCAACATCAACTTCAACGTTACCAAATTACTCCATCCTGTACTTTCAACAAAACTGAACAATTTATCGAAGAAACACAAGACAATCCGCCAAGACCAGAGGTCGAAATTCTAATCTATGTGTCCTAATCAATGGATTCATTAATCACGTGTCAGTTAATCAGCGGAGTTGTAGTTGTCGGGAATGATAAGTTATGTTTATTATATAGAACAATTTAACACAATTACGGTTTATAGAGCACAGCGGTTCAAGTCCTAGGGCAACATAAATTGTATCAGATGTAGAGGGCTCAAAACTCTTATTAACTTGTAAAAATAAATCGTACGTCATTTTCGTAAACCAGAATTGACAACGGGCTATAGGAGCATTATTAACTACTAGCTGTGTCAGCGACTTTGTCTTATTTTGGGCACAACTATTTTTGCAAACGTCCTCAGCTTTATAAATTATAGTTGTTAGCCATGCCGTCGTTCTTTTAATTTGATCTTAAAAGGCATTGTGTTAGATTAAGACGTTAGACAGACAAGCGTGGAGTTCACTTAGATTGATGCTTGATGGTAGATTACCTACCATCAAGCCATAGCCTAGCATCTAAACAAGATGCTTTGTCGACCTTTTGGCTGTGGATATAAGGAACTTCAAAGACTGAAACCGAAATGCGATTAAACTTGAAGGCCTTTTCATTTGCAGATGGTGATTCCTGATTGACGGAATCTCAACATTCATACTAACCATTTAATCCATAGTTCTAACGAAGTCTTGTTTTCGAAAAATTATAAATTGATATAATAAATGTTGGATCGGTGGGGATCGAACTCTCGACCCTTAGATTACTAGCGATTTTAACGTACTATGATATAGACATAAAGTAGATTGAAAAATGTCTTGACTGCCTGTCAAAGGCAGGGAAAATTATAACGCCTAAAGCAAACTTTGCTATAACAATTTGAAGTTCGATGTCCTCTTTCTTGTCATGTCTATTTGAAATTGAAACTAAAATTTAGCTCTCAAATTTAATTTTTATAATGTTAATGTATGAACACATTAACATTATAATAATTAAAGGTATTATATACACGTCGGTTATCTGTCCTAACATTCGGAATAAATTATTATTTGCGGTGCGCTTAAAGCAAATCAGTGTGAATAAATTCAAACCTATTTTGAATAAAGATAATATTGATTTGAATACGTTCCGGGAACATTGGACGGCTTAAATAAACTTATTTATTTTGCTTCATTAGGATTCCAGAGAGAGAAATAACAAATTAGAAGGTAGGTACAAATTATTATGTTGAGCAGTTGGTAGGCAGAACAATAATTCTAAGTATTGTCTGTACTTGTTAGTTAGGTTAAACACTTTTAGAGGTTTTAAATGCGCAATATATAACTTGTTAGTTAAGTTAACATATATTTTAC